GAACAAAAACCAAAGTAGTAGCGGTAGAAGAGGGACAATGAAGCAACTGCCCGACGATGGGCTAGCGACTGTAGATTGGATGTTAGAGAAGGATCATCGATTAGCCGGATGGCCTTTCGTTGAACACGATCTAGAAGGGAAAGGGAAGAGGACGAAGCTCCACCCCACACGTGACTACAGTATTCAAGAGCAGGGATGCAATGACAGAATAATGTTTTCTCTCGCTACACTGCCCTCAAACACGATGGGAGTAGTATAGAGCAAAGTGACAAAACTGCTGAGTCTACTTCTTTAAGATGCGTAACAGTGACAGGGTACGAGCACAGTCTAGAGTCAAACGCGTGTGAAATATATACCAATATATAGCATCAACTGCAATGTCTAGAACACAGGTAATGAGATGGCCAATAAAGGATAAATCAGCTTTCCGCATAGCTTAAAACTGAAGATCCTTTACGTGGCACATGTTCGCAACGGCAAGAGGCTACCTTGGGTAAGTTAATGATTATGCCATGCACAAGCAGAACGATGACACAAAGCATTCGCCAACTACGCAGCACATGGAATATGTAAAACTGTGACCTTTTAATAACTTGGTATTTATCTATTGCTCCTCTCAGTGTGATCTACACTGACCGAAAGATGGAGTGTATTTATGCAACAACTGTTACTGTATTGTTTCCCATAAATTGGAATGCACATGCTTCCGAATGAATTCACCGAAAACATGCCAGTCCACATTTTTCGATGGCAGTTGAAAAATTATGACAGAAGAAACATATCATCGTTTAGGAACTTACTGCTGGGAATGTGATACAGAAGGTAACGTGAGGGCCTTCATTCTGGCGGGATCTAGGAGAAACAGCCACTTGGAATCAGACGAAACAGATAAGGGATTCGCACATAAACCGACTGGTGTAATCCATTATCTAAAATCGGGAATATCACTGTAATTAGATTGAGGAATGAGGTAGGAAACAGAAGTAGCACGAAACTATGATTTCATGGGTCTATCGAATCATTACATAGCTTATTTTCAGCACACTATAAGGAGAAAGCAAGAGACAGCAGGCGTTCTAAGATGACATCGTGTAAATGAGAAAAATTGAAGGGGGAAAACACTGTCATCTTTCTTTGATAAAAATAAAGAGCTGATGTGATCTGTAGTCTTGTTTGGCATGTTTTTCGCTTCAAGGTCTAAGGTTCCAACCTTGCCAATTCCGTTCAAATTTGAAAGTAGACAGCTTGGTTACTGTCTTGTCCAATACCAGGTTCATCGTACTGTCTACTCCAAGTTCCAGATCTCAGGTCACTGGTTCACTTGAGTAAGCCGTGGGTTTTCATTATGATTTGGCTGACCTCCTCTTCTATGTATCACAATGGTGTGCAACAGACAAATTCTAACTCGAAACAAGTCACCCAGCCTCATGGTTAGGGATTTTTCATCTTCCAGGAAGATCATAAACTTACAGTTTTGTGAACAACGGTGTNTTTTAGCTCGGGTAGTATAACTTGATGTTCAGTTGTTCACCGAGTCTGGCAATCGTATTTCACCTCGATTGGTGATGAAACGTTTGAAATACAAATGCCATGCCCGGTGAACTAAACATCAAGATCATAAACTGCTTAACGTTACTTTCGTTCAAACAACTCTCAGATTGCGATCGAGGATACCAAGTGGGTTTTCCTGAAATCATGAAGTAAGCTCATCGGTTCGATCAAAACGCGAAGTGTACGCGACCATATATTTTCGTTGAAGTTCGTGTATTTAGATATACGTGCTGAGGTGGCTGTTGTCAAATGGTGAAATTTACCCTCACACCTACCCGGAGGTCGCGAGTTCGAATCACAACACCGCAGCCCGAATTTTCCTCTTATGCGTGCCCCCAGGCAGCGCCTAAATGACCGCAACTCAAGTCTTCCCTCACGGCTTTCTGCCCAGTTGTCTATTCAATAAAAAGGAAGTAAAAGAATGATTATTGTTATCATCAATATTGAAAACGCAGGATCTGTCCGCTGGGAACTGCATCCCGCTTCAGACAGTTTGCGTAATTCAGTACTCCCATTAACAGAGTTTATAGTTTGAAATTGTAAAAAGTTCAGTAACTTTGGTGGGATTCAAACCCAGGCCTGAAAGCCACCTACGCTTTTATACAGCGCACGCTGTACCAGATGAGCTACGAGGCCATACCGATACCACTAATCTCCACAGTTTCGAATTATCCATTCAACTTACAGAGGCATATTTTACCAGTCAACCCCGCAATACAACAGAAGCCAGCCTACTAACCCTAGGCTTCTGCGGAGTGCTCTTAGTATCGTCCTCTTCTTCGATGCAGGGACAGGCTAGATCGCTTCGCTTAAACAGCTGAAAGTGCTTTGCCTTTCGGTTGCGAGATCTGACTGATTCACACATAGGACGTCTAATGGGTTTCAGTATTCGATCATCGCCGTTTCAGAGGTGTCCGATAGGTAATGGCATGCATCGAAGTCTTCCCGTATACAGACAGTTGTCCATGAACCAAAATGGCTGTTCTACATCTTTTGGATAACTGGTGCATGCACGCTGTACGGTGATCATGACGATGACCATGTTGAGGTTAGGAGCAGAGTTTTAGGTAACGGCGGTGGCCTACAGGAGCAAGCAGCCAACCTCCATAGATTACGTTGGTTGGGACATGTGTTACGCATGTCACCAAATAGGTTGCCAAGGTGAGCGATTTTTGCACAAGAAAGTAATGGGTGGAATAAAGCCAAGGGCGGTCAAAATAAGACCGAGCACGAGGGTATGAAAACTCTAACCAGGAGACTCGATCACTAAGGTCCCGTTAGGATCCTTGGATGAGGTCCTCGGGATGAACGTCACCGTCGGTTACAGCAGTGCGTTAGTTGGGTGTCGTAAACCATGGCGTTCATGCATCTTCTCAATTTCTTAGCAACCTTGTTCCACTAAAATTCTCCATTTTCTCTTTAGCTCTACTTTTAACTTTTTGCCTTTCCCTATTTCTTCATCCAAGTGGCCAGCCAAAAGGCAGAAACCGAAAACCGGCACATGACAAAGCATGGCTAATGGTTTTAAAAACTGAAACTGAACTGCCGAGTCATGGAAACCGGCAATCTAAGTAAACGGACTCAGTGTGACGGAAAGCGTAAGACCTCACTATAGTAGGCGGGGTGTTCAGCAGCACAACACCAAAGTTGGGTGGCAGTGG